TCTGGCCCCTAGGCCGAAAACAAGGTTGAAGAACTGGCAACTTAAGAAGATGATAGTTACCAGCCCTGCATTACCTCAGGGGAAAACAAGAACTACTCTGCCATTTTTAAGGAAGCCAGATACCCAAGGACAACTCACACTGCAGACCCCCACAACACCATTCCTGGTAACTACAAGATGACTGCTGTGCCGCATCAGCTGATAATTATCCCTGTGTACCAGAACTGCTTTCCTGAAACTGCATTCCTTGGAGACTCACCTACACTTGTGGATCTGCCGGAGACCCTTCCTTATCCAACCCTGAGTGGAGTTTATGCTCCCTATTACCAAAAACTTTATGAGCTGATGGTTGGAACTTGTGGCCTCTCTCCCTTTACTTGTATGTATCACTTTTTCAGTAACTCTTCTGGAAGACAACTGTATATAGCAGGGATATTGTAATGGGAGAGTGAGACAAGGCAGTCGAATACCAGACAAAGGTAGCTTGAGAAACATGCCAGCAGTGTGTGCTCACGTTCTCAAAATCCCAAAAGGAGGGAGAGAGAGAGGAGAAGGGATTGTAGTGTGACCCTTCCCCTTGGGAGGTGCTTTCTCCTATCTCACTCTGTCTCCCTGTCTCTCTCTGGCAAATGCATATGCCCTTTTGCACAAACAAACAAACAAAAAAATCCTTCTTAGGAATAGTCTCCTTTTTATGATGTGCTTCCTTTTTGGGATTAGTCTTCATCTATTCATATGAATCAGACAGATACAGATTAATCACTAAAACTTCATTCTTCATTTCTTTCTTTTCATTATTATTTCAGTACCGCAAGTCTGACTTTGATTTCTCTTCAGTAAACTAAACAGAAAATTCTGCCTTCCTAGAGCTTGAAATCTAGAAGAGGTAGTTATGCTTAATTAAAGCACATAATTGATGTCAAAAGGAGGAAAAAATAAAGCCGGTTCAGGGAGTTAGGAAGTGATGAGAGGAGCAGCTATTTTATTGGTTAGTTATGGGAAGTTTGTTTGAGAAAGTGACATTTTAATAAAGACCTGAAAGATAGTCACATGACTGTCAGGGTAAAGGTGTTTAAGATTGAACAAAAAACATGAAGCCCTGAAATAAGGCTATGTCTGGCTTCTAACTGGTTCAAGGAATTGCAGAGGGGCCACTACGGCTCGAATAGAGTGAGCAAAAGGCAGGGAAGCAGGAATTTCATGATGGGTGAAGTCTTTTAACAAGCAAAATGAGAAATAGTGATTGACTGTTTTAAAAAATTATAATAATAATAATTATTGGGAAATGCATGGAAAAGACTTTGAATGATAAAGCGGGGAGATCGATGCCTCTGTATTGACTGACATGCATGGCATTCCCTTTTGAAAAAGCAATGGAAGTCAATGTAAAGTTATATGTAATCCAATGTAATATAAAGAAGATTATGATAATAAAATTCTAATAGATACTACATGAGTTCAAAAAAAAAAAAAAAAAAAGAAGCACAGATTCTCTCAAAGAGTGCACTGCTGAGGCTTCCAAATGCAGCTTCTAATCTGATGTCTCCACGACCACCTCCTTACACATAAGCCCTCATGTCCCAGCTAGGAAACTCTCCCACTGCATACCCCATGCCAACTCCTCCTTGGGATGACCCAGTCCCTCAATGAAGAAGTGAGACAGACCCGGCGGGGCCAGATGAGAGGAAGGAAATCCTGCTGGGCACACGCATGGCCCTCTCCTGGGCACCACCATGGCAGCATGTGCAAAGCTGCAGTTGTCACCCCCACCATCTGTGCCCTTTGACAGAAGCCAGATACTGGCTGGGGAAAGATCCTTGAAAATGAGCCAGTTCCTCCTGGTTCTCACATTCCCTAACAACACTGCCCTTTGAAGGAGGCAGCATGAGCAAGAGCCCCGGACTGCCCTCCTCTGATTGGTCACGTTAGAAAGGCCTTCTCGGCTATCGGGTGTGCAAAGCAAGGGAGAGCAGGCACTTCTTGCCCCAACGTTCCAAGCTGCTATATGAAAGGCAAGTTCTCAGAAACGCAGTTCTCTCCTAAGTAATCCTAGGAAAAGAAAAATCCCTCTGCTTTGTAAGGAAGTACTCCAAATAATAGAGACATATGATAAATTCAAAATGTGCTGATCTGAGAATTAGGACACCTGGATTCTAATTCCAATTCTGCTATTAAAAATACTCTGAGGGTGGGGGCCAGCAGGTGGCGTGGTAGCTGGGGCTCTGAACTCACACATGGCTGACTGTGGTTCAAGGCTTCTTTTCTCACTTTCCCTCTCTCTCTCTCTGTGTTTCTCTCGGGTAAGAGTCTGTGCTCTACAGCAAATTAAATAGTAATAATAATAATAAATTAAATAAATTTTTTTTTGAAGAGGTTTTCGCTGTAGGGCACGTACGCTTGCCAGACAGACAGAGAGAGACATAGAGACAGAAAGCGAGAAATCACCCCCCAGGGGGATGGTCACGCTGCAATCCCTTCTCCTCCATTCTCCTCTCGGGATCTTGGGCACGCATGCACACGCGCCCAGCGTGAGTTTTAAGCCACCAGGTCCGGGACATGAATCGCAGTCGACTACGTGGGAGTCCAGCAACATAGCCATTACGCTAACTGCTGGTTCCCATAAATAAAATAAATTTTGAAAACAATTTTTAAAAAGCAAATACACTGAGGGGGCCAGCAGGTGGTGTGTTAGTTAAGGCACTGGACTCCCACATGGCCCACCATGGTTTGAGTTCCAGACCTGGAAGCCTGCTTTGTCACTTTCCTTTTCTCTCTCTCTCTAATCAAATTTAAAAATGAATGGCAATAACACATGAAATTAAAAACAAAACAAGACAACACTCAGGGCCCAGTCTGGCCACACAGTCAGTAACAAACTGAACTGTGGTGCTGAAAGCCACGTTTAACTGCAGGTTCAGATACACAGGTTGACCTAAAAGCATTCCACGTGCAGGCCAAGATTTTGAGGAGCAGGACTGCGGGAAGTGGACTATGACTTGGCAAGACCCTACAGAGGGTGGCACACACTCCCACTCCCTCTCTCTCTGTCTTTACTGTGTGCACACATGCTATCATGGATAAAAAATAAGCAGATTTGAAAAAGAAACAGGGCCAGCCAGTGACACCGTGATAAAGGCAGCTGGATCCCATGTGCCTAAGTCTGAGTCCCAGACCTGGTAGCTTGAAAATAACACCAGGAACATGACATGTGGGCTCAAAATCCCAAAAGGAGGGAGAAGTGTGACCACTGTGGAGCATAGAGGTGTACTTTTCCAGTCCCCCCACCTATCCGGCGAACACAGGTGCCCTCCATTAAACTAAAAAGCAAACAAACAAAACCCATTCTGAGGTCCATTCACGTGATGCAGGAGGTATGGCGCTGCTGTGTGATACTGGAGCCACATGGGACGTCCAGGTTCAGATCCCAGGTTAATCTAAACACGCCAGGTGCACCTGCAAGTGCTCATGGCCCTAGCTGGCTGGAAGGATGGGAGGAGGTTCACAGCACAAAGAGACTCTTTTAAAGGTGTCTGTTTATCTCTCCATCATGAAAAAAATAAGTAAAAATAAACTTAAAGCTGAGTGCAATGGTGCACGTCTGTAGTCTCACCTACTCAGGAGACAGGGACAGGAGAAGCACAAGTTTGAGGTCAGCCAGGGTAACATAGTGAGCCCATGTCTCAGCTATGTAGCTAAACGGCACATAAAAAAACTTGAAAACACAGTCCCTTATATAAAGGGTACATCTAAAGAGCATTTATTATTACTGGTTTGTTTCATTTGACTGGTAAAAATCAGTCTTTTGAAGAAAAAACTGGGTTTGCTTATCTAAAAGATGTTATTAAATAATGAATGATATTAATAATGATTGCTAGCTACATTTCTATGGTGCTGTTTTATAACCTATAAAGAATTCTCACATCAGTGAGCTCATTCACTTATCACTACAACTTTTCGAGATAGAAATAACACCTGCTTTGAGGCTCCAAGGAATAAAGTGACTGCTAGAACCTACTGAGTGTCAGAATTTAGATCTTTTAGCAAAAAGCCTGTGTTCCTTATACTTTATACTTAATACCTCGCTATTTTTCAATAACGTGTACAGTTTCAGAGTGAAGGCTCGAATTGGATGCAAAAACCCATCATCTTGGCCAATTCCAAAATTCCATCCTAGTGAAAGCCACCTCATTCATTCCAGTATTTTCTTCTCTCACTCCAGACCAACAGGTAGTAGAGCCTTCCCACCCAGAACAAGACCTGCTGCTAAGACTACCCTGCATGACCCTCGTACCTGTGAAGCTCATGTACTTCTGGCTATTGGAAGTCTTTTTTGAGTTGTAGAATTCCAACACGTCCAGGACAGCCTGTGGGTTTTTCTTCTGCTCCGACTTGGTGATATTTGATGTCTGAAGCAAACGGGCCCACTGCTCTGGCATCCCCTGGAAGAGAGACACGCAGGGTTGTCAGGAAGATATGCTCACAGCAGACCTGGGGGAACAGACTAACAGATCCCTGCACCTCTTTCTCTCCATGCCCTCGGAGCTCACACAAGCCTCTTTTCTAATAAATACCCTTCTCTTCGTGTCCATCATTCCTCAAGACGTCTGCTCCTGCACTGGGCTCCACCTTCTTCAGAGCAGAGACCGCGTCTGACCTGCTCCTGCATCCATGCCCTGCACACAGCCTGCTCCCACGAGGCCGTCTAACAGAGGCTTATTTAAGGGATGGAGATTGATAGGCATCTCTGGTACAATTTTGGAGATGAAGAATATGCTCCCCTCATGAATATAAGAAGATGGTAATGAGAATCTCAAAGGAAGATAAGAAAGGACTGAATCTAACAGCACAGAGGCAGAAGTCAGGAACAAGGCCCTTCTGTGACCCAGGACTTACTGTAAATTCCCCCGTGACAGCATCAAAACCGACATGAATTGTGTGTTCAAAATCTGAAGGAAGGGAGATCTCTGGCCGCTCCTTCTCCTTCTTTTTATTTGCTGCAAGAGAAGCAAAGAAAAGGAAATAAACAAAAGGACATCATTGAGTTTTTAGGCTTCTTTTTGCCCTTTAGGGAGATGCAGGCTCCGTTGGAAGGCGAGGTCTGTTTACTTCACATATATCTTTAAAAAGCTCAACCACGGAACTGGATTGAAGTAGATGCTCAATTTATGTTTAAAGACTTCATTTTTTGTTGTTGAATTAAAGTAAGAGAGGGGACCAGCAGACAGCATAAAAGTATGTCACTGGGCCATCATGTAGTCAACCATGGTTCCAGTCTTGAACCTGGTGGCTTAAAACTCATGCCAGGCATGTGAGCGTGTGTGCCCAAAATCCTGAGAGGAGAGTGGAGAAGAAGGGATTATGGCATGGCCAGCACCCCTGGGGGTGATTTCTGACTTTCTGTCTCTCTGTCTTTCTCTCTCTCTCCAGTGAGTATACTCACCCTATAGCAAAAACACCTCTCTCAAAAATAAAATAAAATAAAAATAAAGTAAGGGAGGAGCAGAAAGAACATTTGCAGAGTTAACAATCCCACCAGTAATTACCCAGTTGATAGAGGGCAAGTCACCTCTTCTGTGAAGTCCTCCCGGATCTCCAAGGTGGGCAGTTCTGTACCCTCTCCCTTCCCTCAGCACCAATACAGCCAGCCCTCCAGATCTGCAGTTCCGCTCCTGTGAGTACGAAGGAGCACGGCACTATGCCGTTTTAGATAAGGAACTGGAGCATTTGCAGATGTGGGTATCCACTGGGCTTCCTGGAACCGACCCAATGCACAGAGCAAGAGAGGAACACACAGGAATTGCCCATTGGCTTGTTTCCATCTTAAATGCCAGAGGGTGCATGATGTGCTCTCTGGAGAGAAACAGAGAAAGGGAGAAAGCACCCCCAAAGGGGCGTGGTCAGGCTGCAATCCCTCATCTTCCATTTCCCCACCCTGTCAGGATTTGGGGCACACACACATATGTGTCTGGCATGTTTTTCAAGCCACCAGGCCTGGATCTGATCTGCAACCAGCTTAGCAGAATCCAGCTCCCTTTAACCATTAAGCTATCGAGTGAGCCTGACTTGTAAGTGCAGGGGGCCGTGTCCAGATCGTCACAGAGTCTCAGAGGCTCAAGTCAGGCACAAAACAGATGCCCAAACACTGAGTGAAGAAAGGAGCACGTGGCCAGACACCTACCTCAACAGGGCGTGGAAGCTAAGCAGTCTGCCAAAGGTGCAGCTCTCTTCAGAGCAATAAGCGATGTCTCAATTCACCAGCTCTGGCCCTTCACAAAACTTGTTCCCCAGCCCCCACCACTCATTTTATTTTAGTATTTTTCCTTATTCATGATAGAGCTCAGTGCATGCATGAAAGCAAGAGAGAGAGCAGAGTGCCCTCCACTGGGCCTGGCCACTCACACCTTCCTCCAGCCTGTCGGATCTTGGGAACTCCATGCCCGGTGTGTTTCAGGCTGTCCAGGCCAGGGATTCAAATCACAGGGACACGTGGGATCCGGTTTTTCCCAGCCCAGCTGCTTTAAAACCCCACTGCCTGAGCGCTCAGCACCCCAGCCAGAAGAAATCCTGAAGCCTTCCTGTCTCTATAGACGCACCATGTGAAAAGCTGCAAAATGGGGAAGAAATAGGAAGAAAGGATGGCGTCCGAGCCAGTTTCTCCTCTCCCCCACCACAGGGCACATGCAGCATCTCTGCTTTCCCACCAGAACGACAGGGAGGACAGACCAGATGGGGACCTGAGGTCCTCCCAGCGACTACATTCTGCGAGTGCATGAAAACAGGAAGACAAGCACTCTCAGAGCGGGAAGCGCTTTCTTCCCGAGAGGCAGCCCACGGTTTTGGGAAGGTATTTTAAGTATATCATCTCATAATCGCAGAGCTGAGAGGTTAGAAACTGAGGCCCAGACTTACCTGTAGCCCCTACGTAATTAAAAATCCAAAAGGCCTGGCTCCAAAGCCAAGCTCTTTACATCCCACAGCAGTCCTTGATCTCCTCTAGGAAAATTTCAACAGGAGTTGAAAAGTATTGGGGACCGGCCCTGCAGCATAGTGGCTAAGGAAGCAGATCCCACATGGCCGCCCACGGTCTGAATCCCAACCCCAGAGACTCAAGAAATACAATGGGCACATGTGTGTTCATGCATGTGCATACGTGCCCCCAAATCCCAGAAAACCAGAGAAATGGAGGAGAAAAGACTGCAGAATGAACATGCCTCACGGGAAGTGCTTGCTCCCTCTCCTCTTTCTCTGAAGAGCTCAGTTAAAAACAAATACTCTGGCATCATGAGAAGAAATAATATTAAAACCTCATTGTGAGTAAGTACCATGGCATACACTGCTTTCCTGCATTCCCCAGGAGATAAATACACTGAATATTACTGCCATCTTACAGTCGAGGAGACAACTGCCTAACCACGCGGTTAGTGAGCGCTGAGATTTGAACTCAGGCCTGACTCCAAAGATTCTTCTTCAGTATCTCGTTGAGGAGCATTTGCCTACATGCCAATTGCTAGGGTTTAAGCTACTTATGCAGCACTTGACAATTTCTCCTCCAGAAGCAGCTGCTCTGAGAGAAAAGGCTAGGGGTCACACCGGCCCAAGTCCAGCAGTCACTGACGACACAAGCCATGTGCCCTGCTCACGGGCGGAGTGCACAGGCAGGCGGCAGGCCTCGGGACTGCGTTCTGTTCCAAACTGCTTCCTATTTCTCAATTCCTCCAACCCGGTCACCGCAGCGGTTTTAAGAAAGTAGTTATATTGTTTCACTCAGACTTTTATTTTATTAATATTTACATATCTTAATATATAACTTCCGATGTATATTCCTGGTACACAGCATAACGCAACACCACAGGCGTGCACTGTCAGACACCGAAGGAAACATGCCAGATACACACACAAGTGCCCCAGACCCCGCAGCCTGGAGGCCTGCAGAAGACCCTGTGGTGAGTGCTCCTCCCTCCCCGTGCCATTCTCACATGTGCGTTCACACAGTCTCTCACGAAAAAAGGGGTAAAAGAATAAGAGAAGGAAAGAATCTGAGAAATGGAACCGTTTCCCACATGAGCATGCAGGGGAATGCTGAAGCCAGCTCCATGTCTGCAGGGCCCTCTGCCCTCTGAGTATCTCGCACACTCCCACCTCCAAGTCTGCTCACCTCTCCTTGTCCTGCCTTGGAATCCTCGCTCTTTCATGCCCCGTCTCAGCCATCTTTTAAAGACAGGCTCAACTCCGACTTCTTTCAGGGATTTCCTGATCGGTCCTCTTCTGCGACTCCTCAAGGTCCCGAGTCTACCCCATCATGCACCTAGTCACTTCCTGTGTTGTATGATTCTTGGCTGTTTCTAAGACCTAAAATGTATGCTTCTTGAGGAGCAAAATTGTGGCTTCTAATTATGATCATCACACATCTGGATCTCACCAGGACCACACAGAGCTTACTTACCTCAAGGACACCCTAGAAACTATTCAGAGGTGACCTCAGAGCCTACACTATTCTACTCCCTGAGGAAAAGGGCCCTGAGAAGTCAACTGACTTGCCCCAAGTCACCGAGCACACGGTGGTGACACATAGTTTGTCTGAACAAGTCTTTTACCCTCCATGCCCCTCCATTCCCTACTGGTGGGTTTGACTAGAAGCAAGTACTGACTGAGGTAGCAGTTTAACATGGACCGAACCGAGCCAGGGTGCAAGAACAGAAAGTGCCTAACTAAAGCCACGGAGGAGGAAGGGGAAGGGGAGGAGAGGCAGAGGAGGGGAAGCGACCAGCGGAGTTCAGCCTGGGTGCTGTACAATTCTGGCAGTATGCTCAGCAGCTGGGACCAGCAGCCTACAAAAAAAAAGGGACCTGGAGAAGCCATGTGGCCCCAGAACCACCTGGAACTCAGTCAAATCCTTCCCAGAAGTAACAACCACCTCCCTCACGTGTGTGTGGTCCCTCACAAAACCCTGCGGCCACTGTCTCACTGGCTCCTCACCATAACCCAGGAGCCCAACAGCAAGGACCATCTCCACAGCTGAGAAGACAGAGATCGGGGAATTAAAAGAAATCTCTGTCGGGACCAGCAGTTAGCGTAATGGCTATGTCGCTGGACTCCCACATAGTCGACTGCAGTTAGAATCCCGGACCCGGTGGCTTAAACTCATGCCGGGCGTGTGTGCGTGCGTGCCTGATCCCAAGAGGAGAATGGAGGAGAAGGGATCGCGGCGTGGCCATCCCCACTGGGGGGGGGTGATTTCTCACTTTCTGTCTCTCTGTCTGTCTCTGTCTGGCGAGCACACACGCCCTATAAAAA